CTATATAGAGGTGATAAACAAATATTTAGATGAAAGAGCCACAACATCAGTTTTGACAAGTTCAGACAAAAGCTAACCTGTATGCCATGGTTTCGGACAATAAATCTGATCATTACAGAAAGGCCTCGATTACGTTGCATCTTTAGGAAATATTTGTAAATATATATGTATACATATCCATTCTTAGCCATTTTCAGCTTAGTTCCTGATGTTTCAGTGACTCGCTCTTACTCTCTTAAGAGGAATGATTATTTTGAATCTTATTTATTACTTATGTATTATGATGCATAAGCGCGCCATCTGTTATCAAAATTCAAAACTTTTATAGACGCGTATGATTCTTTTTAAAAAAAAAAACAATTTCTACTGTCCTTACTACAATGAAAAAATTAAAGGGAGGGCCTGGCTCATCAGTGGTGAACCCTCCCAGCGATTGGAAAATCGTCTAAAAATATAAGAATAATATAGAATTCAAAATAATCATTCTCCTGAGGAGAGTGACAACGAGTCACTGAAACGTCGAGAACTAAATAAAATAATTGTAGATGTAGACATGTATATTCTAAACAAATTCCAGCCAACAAATGATCTTCAAAACCTACAGGAAGAGTAAGGAATTCAGTCAACTCTGCCCAAAGTGTTCTAGACAGTGATACAATCGGGCCGATCTTAAACAAGCATGCGTTGTAATTCTGCGGGAAGATGGTATTCAGAGAGAGAGAGAAACCCTATTTGCACATAAACTGGCAAAACCGTTGAGAGGGTTCACCACTGATAAGCCAGATCCTCCCATTAATTTTTCCATTGCAGTAAGGGCAGTAGAAATTGCTTTATTTTAAAAAGAATAATACGCGTCTATAATAGTTTCGAATTTTTATAACAGATGGCGTGCTAATGCATCATAGCACATAGATATTGTTATTAGATTATAAAAAGGCATATATTGGATTGAATAAAATATTGGCAAATAATTTTTTTATTCAATACAATATATGCCTTTTTATTTTCTAATGAAATAAATATGGATTGCTCTATTTTCAAAAAGATATTGTTATGGTTAAGACACCTGTCCAGGGATGAGGGTTTTTCCTATATCGTATTGAGATTCTCTAGTTTACGCACTTTAAGGTCATACATGAGATCAAAAGTTAATTAACAATATTAAGGTAACAATGAAGCACAGCAATGGCCGCAGCCTTGCAGAAAATTGACATAGACCCAGAGCAGCAGCTTTACACACCCAAGATAGTGGACATTGCTCCTGCTGTGATAGAGATACATGGAGACATCTGAGGCTCTTCATTGGACATGGCAACAACAACAAGGAAACAGAAAGGTAACAATATTTAAGGTATCAAGACTAAACCCCAAAAAATAAGTAATTATTTGATAAAATAGTTTTTGAAGGTTTTTCATGAAAGAAAGAGATAAATATTTAGTGAAACTTAAAAAAACTTGTTAATGAGTTGTTCATGTTTAATCACATTAAGTTCGAAATTCATCAAAATGGAAGATGATGTATGTTTCACAGAGAGAAAGAGAGAGAGAGAGAGATTTAAAATCATTTATTATAATGTCCATATAAGATTATATAATGATAAATATATGATTAAATAAATATAAATATATGATTGAATAAATATATAAAATATTTGATAAATATACATATATATATAAATATATACAAGGTCTTCATTGGTAGTGCCCACCGCGGGAACGACTCCGCCACCGGTGGACTGCGAGAGTTCTCTCCCACAGAGTAGGCAGGTCTAGGTGTTGGCTGGCGTTGCCCACCTCAAGACCAAGATGGTACTTTTAGATGGTAGCCTTCGCCACGCTGGTCAATTTCATTGCCTCGGGATGGAGGCCGACGCCGAAGAGCCAGGCCTGCAGATCCAGAGCACTTCACAGGAGGCGAACACCTCTCGGAGAGAGATTAGTAACAATATAAAATGTTATAGGCATTGTTGTATTCATTTTGTTACTGGGTTATGTTTAACACATAATCATCTTTCACTTTTTAAATTAAAATATACAAAATAAATAGACAGATCGCAAACAGGATTTATTTAAATAAGAATCACTTTCTTCCTAAACGGAGAGATCCTAATTCTCTTCTTTTAGCAAATCTATCTAATTCAGAGGACACTTAGATAAAATCAAGTACGAAACGCATTGAAATATCTAAGAAACAAACATCATAGTCAAATAAACAGCGTTTCATTCAATAGAGTGACACATTCTGAATAAAGACTTCAAGTCTAACACTTCCTAGACAGCGAGGGTTGTGTTAGATTGAATAGAGATATCTTGTTACTTGAAATCTATGACTGTTGGAAGCTGCAACAATACAGTCTGTATGCCTACAGACATTATTGCCACGTGGAAAATTTGGGAAGACAAGCGTCTCGGGAGATGACACAGTAATTTATTTCAGGCAAGAACAAACTATGAATGATAAACAAAAGATAAACAAAGAGAGAAGTATACCGAGTAGCCAAATATACACATACAAAGTGATACTCTGTTAATAAAATAATAAATACTTTGTTACATTATTGCCCTCGACGATCCCGACTCGGACTAGGCGACAAGAGACTCACTTAATTTCGCTGGATCCTGAAGACTTATCTAGGATACACGAGGAATGGATCCTCATACCTAGGACCTCCTGATACTGAGGACCTACAGGATTGTTTAATTCCATACATCTGGATTGGGACAACCACGGACCTGTCTAGATGGAACACGGACTGATACCTGTCGGACCGTCCTCCATATGGACCACCAGGAGGTAAGTAACAACGTCTGTTAAAGCCACAGTTTTGCATTCGAACATTCAATGCAAACACTCGGTGAACACACTAGATAGATGTACTAGCCAAACAGGTCCGTATAGCCTAATTTAACCTGACTTAATCCAACTTGGAGGCAATTTAACAAATTTCAAATTGGTTGAGAATTATATCACATAACATTTATATCTTTTAAAAGTGGATTATCTACAATATAAATATTCTTTGTTCACTTTTTTTATATGTATATATGAATTATATCAGTTCTACTTCTGTAAAATATACTTTTCTTGTATTTTCAAATAGGTTTTTCTATATAAGATATTTTTGTCTTTTACTTTAAATGAAGAGATTTCATATAATATCATATATATTTAATCAAACTTATAATATATTTAGCAAAATGTTATATCTAGCAATGTTTATAACTTGAAATGCTACAATTCACAGTACGATCTAATAATAGCGGTTTCAAATGAGGTTCAAGATATTCTACCAAAATATATTTTGATTAAATTAATAAGGAATCAAGGGTTTCGTTTCTTTTCTTATTTCT